CCCAAGGGCCCCTGGGCAGCGGCCCCGCTGGCCCGGTGCGTAATCCGTCCCTGTAGTGAAGTGATATGTGACAGAGCAAAATACCAATATAAAGTGGAGCAGTGGTTAGAATAAAAAGAATGCTGCAGAAGTATTACAGTATTACAAGATCAGCAATTTAATGTGGAGGCAGCTAGTGTAAAACATTTCATGCCGCAACCTCGTCAAGAGGGTCCACCTGTAGAGTTGAGTTCCACCCAAAATATGTCACCTCCACAGGAAACACATGATCTTTAAGGGCGTAAAGTTGAGCTCCGGTCAGGTTTATAGTTGGGGTTAAGGTTAGGGTTTATTCGCTGTAACACAGAGTTGAGGTCACGTGTTTCCTGTGGAGGTGACATATTTCCGGTGGAGCTCCACTCTACAGGCGTCTGCAGCTGGACCCTTCTCAACCTCGTATGAACAAGTTAAGACCGGAAATGAAGGAGTCAACCATGATGGTTTTCTCGCACTGCCCCCTGGTGGACAAAACTTTTAATCCTCACTACACACACAAGTATGGAGCAACAGCACCACCTGCATACGTTGCATGTTTTAGGGTGCAGCATCTCAAATGGTTCATTTAATTTGTTTCTTAGTTGCTCGCTTATGGATATTATATAGTATTCTTAATTCTGTGTCTATGGCTGTCACTATCAATTATATCAGTAATCAAGTAATCTGACGATTCATCGAGTAATTGTTTACAGTATACAGTGGTACCTTGGAACATGAACTTAATTCCTTACAGAAGGCTGGTTGAGTTGCAATTTGGTTGAGTTCCAAGTCAAATTCCCCTATAAGAAATAATCTAAATGAATTTAATCCATTCCAAACCCCCACATTATTGTCTATTTAAACTTATCTATCTACGTAACTAATGATAAAAGGCATTATCAATCAATATATTACTACTCCAGTGATACAATTACTACTGCGTAAGCAAATTTAATCTAGGAACTGTTTTCTTCTACCCAACTTCACACACCAATTGTATCACTGCGCAGAAGACATGAGCACCCCGGCGATACCTTCTGCGCACTGAAACGATTCATGTGTGGAGTGCGGTAGTTCATATATTGCTCACTGCAAAGTCTGGGGATTATCTTCAATAACCAGGCCATGATTGCTGTTGGATTTTTCAAACGTATTTTTCTGGCGCTTTAATTACCACAGAAAGAATACCATTCACTCCCATTATATTCAAGAGAAGCCCGACGTTTCTACAGCCGTTATCTCCAAAACTAGGCAACACCCAGGAGAACAACCTAGATTAATAGATGGCACCGAAGCCCCTTTAAAATGTCTTTTCTTTCAATTTTGGGGTGAACTGACCCTTTAACACAGCACATCGTGCAACCATGTCAGGGTTGTACAGTCGCACAGTCAGTAGCGCCACTGCACACCGGCACTTTGAGTTTAAGTAATTTACTTAAGTAAATTGGAGGGTGTAAATTTTCTGGTTGTGTGACTGACTTTACACCAATTGTAATGCATATTATATTATATTATATCATATATTATATTATATTATAATATATTATAATTACTTGATGAATCAACAGATTTATTGGTAGATTACTCAATTATTGACATAATTGATAGTGACAGTCCTAGTTGTAAAGCCAGGTCTGGGCAATTATTTTCTGTGGGGGGGCTGAATCCAAGCTTCACATTGTCAGCAGGGGCCATTTTTCATGTTATTTCAATGTCCCATGACACCCACAATATTAGGCTTGCGAGATTTTCCTTTTCCCTTTTTTTAAAAACATTTTCAGAATTCAGTAGAACTTGTGCATTTTTAATGTTTCAGTTATAAATTTATTATTAATTTTAAAGAAAGATTTGTGGGCAAAAATAGTTACATGAAATTGAATGAATGATTGGACAGGCCTATAAAACTAGCTCCTTTGGCCCGGTTTTGCCCGGGGCTGCTGTAAGCCGTAGGTAAAACTTAATGCATTCTTATGCTGCTATGAACACAAGACTAGTGGGTGGTAAGATTGGAGCATAATTTTTTGCATCCTGTATACATTTCAGGTGGCCCCAGTTTGTCTGACCTCCAAGCTGCTGGAGAGATTGAAAAACAACATGATGGTGATTGAGGTATGGCAGAAAAGAGGAGGCTCAGAGCAGGATCGGCCCCTCGGATTAGTCAAACTGCCTCTGCATCAGTTCTATATGTCCTTCAGGTAGGAATGGAATAGCTCTGAGCACGGTTAGTGTATGGCTGATTAACCAGTAAATGTATATGTAAAAATAAAAACGAAGGGTTTTCTTGTTAACTCTTGTATTTAAAACACTTGTTGATTTGTTATTGGTATCTCTGATGAGTGGTTCTGTTTTGAGCTTGATGTTGAGATATCACCTTCTACCTCATATCACCTTTTTATATCAAATTATATTTTTATATCCTCATGTTTTGACCTGTCCTCCTCCCCAGAGACCCAAAGATCTCCCAACTCCTCCTACAGGCACAGTACCCCGTAGTGGGGGTAGACAGCTACATGCCTGTGCTGGATATTTCCTCAGGCAGTTGCCATGGTCACCTGCGGGTCCTTCTGGCAATGGGACTGGCAGAGCAAATAGCCACATTGCAGCGAATAAAGGATACTGAGCTCTACTCAGTATCCCACCCCATAAGGCCACCCCACCTACTGGATCCAACTCCACAGCCAGAATCAAAGGTTTTTAGCTTGATAAGTTTCTAATCATTTTAATACTGATGCAAATGTGTGTAAAAGCAATTTGCAATTTTGTACTGTGCAATAGTGCTGCCATAATGCAAATGGAAGCAGAGGTAGCCTTAACACTGTAATAAAATCTGTCCCTGCAGGTGAAAGTGAGTAACTCACATGATATGATGGAGCATGTGTTTGAGGTCAGGGTCCAGCGAGTGAAAGGGCTGATGCCTCTGCAGGCCACTGTGTGGGGGGAGGCCGACTGTTACGTGCAGTACTGCTTTCCTGCTCAGAGAGAGGACGCCGTTTGGGATATGGATCTGAGTTTTCCTGAGAGTGGTATGGTTTATGGTTCTGCTAAGGGCTTGTCTGTGAGGCTAAATGGTCAGTGATTTAGTGAGTCTGTTTTTCGTCCCTTTCATAGGAATGTGTCTGAGAATGTTCCGAACTGCCACCACGCTCTTCATTCCTGATCCTGTGTTCGATCACACTGAGAGTCACGTGCTGGTCGCCCCCTCAGCCATCCCAGTTCAGAGGCTGCTGCTCGGCTCATTTTGCAGCCAGGGCCCAGAAGCTAGAGGGGGGATGCAATTTGAGGTGTGGTGCAGGTAAGGTTGTGATTCTGTTTGTGACCACCAGAGGGTAGCAAAAATTACAGTGCAGTCTTATGTGTGTTGCCTTGAAGGAGAATTTACTGAAATTAAGTTTGTTTTTAAGGCACATTTCCCAACATGATTGCCCCAAGAGCTTACCAACAATAAACAAATGTCAGTTTCTAACAGCTTAGCGTAATAGCAGTATATAAGACCTCTGGTTCTGAGATCAGCCGGTCACCAAAAAAGGCAGACAGGAAAGTTTTTTTTGTGGCTTCACAAAATCATTTAGCATGTAATCCCTCATCTACACCACATACTACTGGTGGGTGATATGGCGATATTTTATTGTATCGGTTATAATTGTATCCACAATTCACATTTGAGAGGTATCTCACGAATCGTGATATTACACTACATTTGCGTTAACCTTCATTTAGCAGACAATGCTGTCCAAAGCTGCACACGAGAAAGGCAAATAGCACATTACAAGCATGTGTACCGTCTAGGAGTCGACTAGGCATAAGTGCAGCTAAGCTGACTTTCTAATGAATGCCCAGTTACAAGTGAATTATTAACACTATTATTATAATGACAGAACAGTCTGGCAAGTGCCTATTATGTGATACCTGTGTGTTCACAAGCTGCACCAGTACTGCAACAAAAACAGACCAATGTGAAACAAGCCAACTGAAGCCTGCGTAACATCTCAGCGCTGTTATAGATGTTTTAATAATAAAATCAGCATTTTTAGTATTTTGTTTCCTCACTTGTATATGACAGTAACTGGTTTAAAAAGTTTTCAAATACATTAAATGACATCATAATCATCCATAATGAATCTGTAGTAAGGTATTCAGAAAAAGATTTTACTGCAGACCTGAATAGAGATGTTCCTGGTTTCACTGGATCAATCTTTGTTCATTAATTCTGAGTTCCAGGCTCCTCTTGAAAGACCACAAAATTTAACTACAAAAACACAAAAACAATTTCTACTTTTATAAAATTCAAGCGCAGTTTAACTGTGAAACATTCAGGCATTTAAATGGTACAATATCTTTGGCAGATATTACTACCCAAATGTCAGGGAGCAGCTGGTGGCTAAATGCTTGCTGCCTCTGGCCAAACTGTGCGCCATGGTGACCATGCAGAGAGAGGAGCAGTCAGACACCCAGGTCTTCTCCCTCCCTCTCGTTCCAAGGACTGAGAACCTCGCTGGCCATCAGCCTCAGCCTTCAGGTAACACACGCCTGGCATTACCTATGGCCCTTGCTGGCCATCAGCCATGGCCTTCTGGTAACATGACATCTCTTCCAGGGCTGATGGATGTATGTGTGCATTACATGCATCGACCAATGAGAGCAGTGGGTGCCAAGGGCGGGGCCGTGGCCCCCCGGGTGGTGATGCTGGCGGTTCAGGTTCAAAGAGCGGCAGGACTGCAGGCAGCAGCACAGTGAGACTCTGCTTTGTCATTTCGCTTCAAATCTAAACTAAAGGCAGTGGGCTATTTTTGATCTTCTTCTGCTCCGTTTCCCCTTCTCCACAGATTGAGTCTGGGTGTCATGTCTGATAGTACCCTCTCCTTTCAGTCCCATGTTAATAATGTCACCCGCTCTGCATATTTCCATCTCTGTAATATCAACCGTCTTCGCCCCTCCCTCTCCCCCTAGGCTGCTGTTATTCTTCATCATAGTCTCGTTTCCTCTCGGTTGGATTATTGTAATTCCCTCCTCCTAGGTCTTCCCCAAAAAACCCTTCACAAATTACAACTCGTTCAAAACTCGGCCCCTCGGATTATTACCAGGACACCATCCCTCCACAGCATCACACCCACCTTGCTGCAGCTTCACTGGCTCCCGGTCAAGTTTCGTATTGAATTCAAAACCCTTCCCTTAATGATCAAGGCCATTCACAACCTGGCACCTCCGAACCTGCATGATCTCCTTCACATTGCTACCCCCTCCCGCACCCTCAGATCATCTTCTTCTATTCACTCTGCCCGTCTTACCACCATGGGGTACAGAGCCTTCAGTCGCTCTGCTCCACGGCTCTGGAACTCACTTTCACTTTTTAAATCTGCCCTAAAAACCCATCTTTTCAAATTAGCTCTCTCTAATTTTCTGTTTATTTAATTTATCATTATTACAATTATTTTTATGAAACTCGTTTTATTCTATGTTCTCTGTATTTTATGGTTCTATGCTTTATTGTACGTGTCCTTGGGTGCTAGAAAGGCGCCTTTTAAATAAAATGTATAATTATTATCATTATATTAATATTGCAACAGAAAAGGGTTCAACTCTGTCTCCTGCTTCCTGTCCCATTAGGGCCGTTGCAAAGATGGATGACACTTTCCAGTATTATGCTGACACAGGTGTGAACTCATACGTTACCATGGACATCTCCTTCCTGCCTGAGAGAGAGAGGCGGAGCACGCGTGTGGTAGCTCAGTCGTTCTGCCCTGAATTTGAGCATCACTCCGAGTTCCCATGCAACTTAGTGGTCCACAAGCCACATGGGGGCACTTGCAGTCTAGCTGAGCTGCTGGATGGGGCGACTGCTGTCTTTACCCTGCGCCATCGGCATAGTCGCAGGAGTAAGTAATAAAAAGACAGGAATGCGTATCATGGTGGACTTTTTGCATCCCTTGTCTGGTATTTATTGATTATGTGTTGATTTCTTAGTGCTAGAAGGCCCAGCTGCCAGGGACACTGTACTGGGGATCGTGACAGTCCATTTGGCGGATCTGGTACGCAAAAGGACAGGTATGATGACTCGTTTCAGGCACACTTGATTAAGCTGATGTTTCTGTAACACTGTTTCTGTTGAATTCCCTGTCATCTTTGAAAGAGTTTGAATGAGAATGAGGAAACCTCACATCCTGGACTAAATGATACGATATGACAGAGCTGAGCTTTGTTACAGGTGAAGGAGCTGCTGATAGGATTTAAGAGCTTTAGGGAACATGAGAACAAGCATAGGCATTACATCATAGCCACAGCTCTGGCTACCTGGCCTGCTATAAGTGACTCATCAGAAACATGTAATGTTGAAAAGTTGTGTTCAGCAGCATTATTGCTATGAATCACACAGCTCCCAGCTTCCAGTCCCATTAAATTTTTACTGCCTCCCACTAAATGTATACTTGTCATACTTTTTGACTCATTCGTTTACTGTGTTCCAGGAATTTGTGGCTGGTTCAGTCTCTCCCTGCCCCAGGATTCAGAGAAACTGCAGGCCCACCGCAGTGCAGTCGGGGGGCTGGAGATATTAATCAACTTTGCACATCATTCAGACAGAGAGCGGGTAATCAAGGCTGCCCGTGGTCTGGGCTGGGAGCTGGATATGGAGGGGGTGCAGGAAGATGACGATGAAGATGACCTAAGAGAAGGCGAGGTGTGGCAGGAAAGGGCACCAATTTTGTCTGTGGCAATTTCCGTGCCCAAGTTGTGGCTGCCCCTTCACTGCCTTCAGCTGCCTGGTCACCAGAGTCCGAAGAGGTCTACTTACTGCTACGTCCGTTACAAACTGTACGAAGGCAAAGCTGTCTGCTCCTCACTGCAGCATCCTTCCCTGGAGGAGGAGCCCAGGGGGAGCACTGTGGCCACTGCAGCGTTTGGGAGTGGCAGGCCAGTGGAGCTCAGGGTCACCCCTGCTTTGCGCTGGTACCTGCAGGAAGAGAGGCTGGAGCTGCAGGTGTGGGTGGCATTTAGCAAGCATAAGAAGCCCCGCCCCCATGGCACAGACCGGCTGATTGGCTCAGCCTATGTGGAGCTCTCTTCACTGGCCAGGAGTGGACAGAAAAATCGAACCATCACAGGTGAGTAGCAGTTTTTAATTGTTAAGGTCATTTCCAATATGTTCTGCACACAGGGTGAGTGACGTAAATTAGGTGATGAGGGGTGCAGGCTGTGATGTGATAAGATATCTTTATTGTCACTGTACGACGTTTGGATCCTTTTAAAGCAGCCTCAATAAAGATCATACAAGTTAAGGAAAAATTAAGGAGAAAAAAAAGATAGAATACAATAAGTAACATATAGTGAGTCCAGTTTTGGGTTATGTTTTTAAACCATAATTAAAGCTGGTCCACTGATCCATCGTTTTCCACACAGTCTAAGAAACGTGTAAAAAACGTCTATAGTTGCTTATTACTGAGGCATGTAGGTTGGGCTTTTTTTGAAAAGGATTGATAACTGTGGTTTTCAGGGCCCTTGGAAAAAGGCCTGACTGAAGAGAACAATTAACTGTTTGTAGTACATCTGATGCCATACAGTTAAAACATCTTTAAACAACCTTGCAGGTAGTAGACCTAAAGTGTTGAGCAATTTCTGTCAAGGTTGCATGGTCTAGGAGTTGAACATGTGCCAAGTTAACTAAAGTAGTCTTAGGCAGAGGTGCAATCGCCATTTTGCCCGAGATGCAATTACAGACTGGTTGTCTTATCCTCATAATTTAATCTGTGAAAAAAAGATAAGTCATTGTATGATTTGGTGGATAACAGCTCAGGAGGATGTGATACTGAGAGGTTTGTCAGTCTATCAACAAACAACAGAATTTGAGAGAGAGAAAAATATTATTTGATATTTTCTGCAAAGATATGAATGATTACACCAGCTGACAGTAATCAAGGTGTGAGTCTAGGAAATGCATCTTGACACTCATTCTACATCCAAGATCTTGAAAACGACATATATCCTTGACGTGAACCTCATAGTCAGATGACTTCTTGTTTCCGAGAAATCCATCAACGACTTTGCGGAATTCCTCCCAGGCTTGCCTCTCCACTGTCACCATTTTGGCTGCAAATACACTGTCCTTTAGCAACCTTCTTAACTGTGGTCCGCCTTCCGGTACTGAGTGACAGTAGCGGAAAGCAGACCACAGTTCTACATACAAAGGTCGGCGTCAGTGGACCTGCAGCAGCGTACCTGTAACTTTACATACCTGCAAGCTGCCTGTAAACCCTGCTGACTAGTTTGTACAAAAAATTAGTCTGACAGGTTACTGGTGATTTTATATGACTGGTATCAAAATGACATTATTAGGTATACAATGCATTGTATATGGGAAAAAAAGTTAAGTCGACATCACAGAAAAACCAGATGTGCTGGGTCAAAACTAAATACAGTGGTACCTCGGTTCTCGAACTCACTAGAACTCGAATTTCTTGAAAGTCGAACAAACCAGTTTGACCTAGAACTCGATCTGAATATCAGAAGTCGAACTGTGAACACCGACCTAATATAAATTGTACACGCCAGGAAATGAGTCATACTACAATGCAATTCTTACTTGAATGCCTTCTTCACAGACTGGACAATTAACCAAATAAAGCAGTGCAACATTACAGTAACTAACAATAAATAAACCACTAACTTACGTGTACTATTAGAGCATTTATATAATTAATATAAACTTTATTTTACCAGGTAAATTAACTGAAAACCAGTTCTCACTGCTTTACGTGATATTAGGGAGAAATAGCAGATTACGCATCGGAACTGCCTGGGATACAAACGTCATGCGGGTAACTAAACTCTTCAGCCAATAAGGGCAAAGGTGTGTCGTCACGGAGGCAGTTCCAGTTTGTGCAGCCGGGTGAGAGGTTGCAGTGCATCTAACTGTAATGCATTGCGTCAGGATAAGAATGCGTTGCTTTAAGCCGGCGCTGTAAGCAAGTCGAATGCACCCAAGGACCGGACTGGGGAAATAAACTGAAACGCGGACTTAATACAGAGGACTAATGACAACAACCAGAAACAGCTGATCACATGGGGATCCCACACAAGGTTAACGAGGGGGCGTGGCACACGGAAGGAGCAAACCATCGGGGCAGGACAGGGATAATGTTGGGATAAGATCTTTATTGTTTTGGAAGCCATTAAGAAAAAAATGCTCTTCTTGTTTTATCCTGTTCATTATGTGTTTAAATGCTTAAAAAAAAAAAAAAAAACATTTTGGGGGGCCGGGAACCAATTAATTGGTTTTCCATTATTTCTTATGGGAAAAATTCGATCAGAACTCAAACTTTTTAGGATTCGATCCGGAGTCCGGAAAGGATTAAGTTCGAGAACCGAGGTACCACTGCATACTAAAAATGTTTGTTTTTGAAGGGTGTTTGAAAAATGTCATTTGATATTATTCACCAAATTTGATGTCGGCAAGTGTTATATATATAAAAAAGTTATATAAGTGATCAGTAAAAAACATGTTTATGCAGTTCAACCTTGACACAATAATATTATGGGTGAATCATGGACGACGTATCTGAATCTCGGGATGATTAGTCCATACACGATCAGAATCAATCCACACCTCAGTCACCTCATATCTATGTCTGCTAGGTAGAGTTGAACAATCACAACTGCTCAGAATATAACAGTAACAGGAGGAGAGTGAACATCTCTTATTAATTCTGTGCTACGTGGGTTACTGTACGTAATCCCAATACCTTTGCTAAGGAGCAGCTTCTTCCCCAGAACTATCAGTGTGCTCAAAAGTACCTTACAGCGTTGATTCTCCACCCTGCTCCTCTCCTGACACAACTTGGTACCTCGACTGATCTTGACTCATTTGTTTGTACCAATTGCTCATTTTGCACATTATATATCTCCCTTTTGTATCATATTTCCTAACACAATCATTCTCACTGTACTTCCGGTCTGCACCTTTAGCCACGGAGTGCCTCTTATATTTTGCCTAGAACTGTACTTATACACTTATATACATATCTATATTTTATTATAATTTATTGTATTTATATATTTTTTTATCTGCACCTTGAATTTTTTGTACTGTTGAACCCCTAGCTTCTTGTGACTTGACTTGCCCAGGATGCAGGATATCCCAGCATCATGGTTATTCCCTTAGAGCCAAATCAGTAAATCTTGTGTAAATCTTCATATTCAATCTTTATTGCAACAATGAGGATACAACCAAGGCTGGACACCCTGCAGGAGTGCGTCACATACTGGATTATACTGATTTTTATACGCTTTTCTTACCATCATCACAGGGGATGTCCCAAGCATCATCTTTCTGGACCAATTGCTAACAATGTGCCCCCCTTCTGGGGCTCTGGTATTCTCCACCCCCCTACCATTATTTTTATGGTTTGGTGTCCAGTTACTTCCCCGCCTCTTATATGATAGGGCTGCTGGTCATTTCTTTGGTTGAACCTTCTAGAAAACACAATTGTAGCAGAATTGCTCAACCAATGTTTTTGTAAATTTATAACAAAATGCCCAGAACTACAGTGGAAAAGCAAAAACGTTCCCTGGTTTTGCTGATTAAAAAGTAGCAAGTTTTGGCAGCTTCAGCTGGTTCCGAGATGCTTAGCCAGAGACCTGACTGTTCTGGGCCTTCAGAGTAGTGATAAGCTACGAAACTAATTAAAGTGCATATTCATATGACCAAGGCTAATATAAGATACAGAAATGTCTAAACTAACACAAAGTGCTTACTCATACTTTTGGTTAATTAGTCTGCCTTCTGTAAAGGTTTCAAAGTCACACTCTACATGGTTTACATTAGCTTCAGGTTACATCATCTTCGTAGTGCCCTAATGACATTCTTTATGTGTTATGCAGTGCTAAGTAATATTCCATATCAACAACAAACCTTGACTTAAGAGGGGCAGGGGAGGGGCCTTGGGTATGTGAACAATCTGTGGACTTATTTGTGTAACAATGAATGATCTGTAGGCTTAATTGTGTAACAATGAACACCTTTATTAAAAAAATAAAGTTGCCATGAGAATGTGCTATGGCATATTGGTGTTATTGCTAGTGATTTCATAAGTGGAAGGAGTAGAAGGGAATGAGTTTTCATGCACCAGCAAGATTATTTTTAATTATTTGTTTATTATTTGCGCTATGTATAATATCTTTGCACTGTTTTACATTAAATGTATATTTTTGTGCATATTCTCTCCTATTCAGTTTCTCATGTAGATATCTTGTCAATATCAGTATTAATTATGTATTTACAATATCAATCTAAAATGCATCCATTATTAACCCCCTGGTCCATGGAGGGTTGTGCCAAATTGGGAGCCTATCCCAGGAAACACAGGGCACAGGGCCAGGGACATTAGAGGAGATGCCAGACTGTCCCAAGGCAACACCAATAGCACACATTAATTAGACATAATGGGCAATTTAGAGTCAACAGCTCACCTAACCACATTTTTGTGGACGTACTTGGGGGGAGGGGAGGTAGAATGGCTGGGTTCTGTACTCGTATAAAGAGCAGGCGGCCAGCTTTGGACCTGGAGGTGTGAGCCTGTAGTGGTAACTTCCTGTGCCATGATCACTCTTCATATCAGCATGGATACCATGTTACCATTTGTGTTTGTTCTTCTGGGTTGCTAGGAGCTACTGCAGCAGTGTAATCCTCCTGAGAGGTGATTTATGAGAGGATGGAAAAGGAAATTTTAACAAACCTTTACGCAAACTGATTTTTTTTCATTGTGTTGTTTCGGTTAGAACTGGAGGACACAATAATTCTTATGGTGCAAATATGTGCTTTGCAGGTGTTTATCCCCTTTTCAGACGCTCGTCCGCCAACCTGTCAGGCGCTGCACTCAGGGTACACATCAGCACAATGTCCTCTGGCCAGGGCGCCTCACACCCTCAGGAGCCAGACTCTGTGGTCGAAACTGGAGATGAAAGCAGTAACCAAGGGGAAGGGAGTGAAGAGGAAGAGCACCATAATTTACCAGCCACACCGCACACGCCTAGACACCAGGAGAAGCCTGAAGTGACCTCTGAAGTTCCTCCTGAGGCCTTAGCAGACACTGTGAACACCTTCACTGCAAGCATCACTGTGGAGAGAGCCATGCATCTAAGTCTTAAAGGTATAGTACTGAACAGCATCTCTCTAGCATCTCACTGAAACAGCCCACGCTACACCAGTCATGCTATGTGTGTAAGCCTTTGCTTTTATTTGATCAGTCATTTCCCCATTCGTCTCTGGCAGGCTGCCCCCTAGCGGACAACACTGGTGTGACTCCCAGTTGCTGTGTATCGTATTCCACCGCTGATGCCACAAGCCTCGTTACCACGCCTGTTGTGGAGAGCAGTAACTGTCCTGTGTGGGACCACCGGCACGAGTGCAGGTCAGCATTGTCCAGACCCTGTAGCTGAGTTACACCCTTCTGATGTATCACTGCATGCCTGTGAAAATGGATGAGTTCATTTTAGTCAACTCTGCTAATAAGGCTGTATATCAGTGTGTGAATCATGTGTCTTGTTATTTAAATATCTTAAATCGTCTCAGCAAAGTTTTATTATGGATTTGAACCACAGATTCATTTATCATCGCATTTATTCATTTGCTTATTTAAGTTTGTCTTGGCAGAGTATTAGGGTACTTTTTGCAAAATGGACCGTACTTTTGGTACTCTCTCTTTTCCAGTACCATTACCAAAAGTTACAGTACCCAAAGTATCAAACCTACTGTGGTACACTTTTGGGGTGGTCATTGTCAATTGGTTATGCAAATAGCATGCCTCTGAAATACAATAATACATCTAGCGTTTTGAATTCAAAAACAATAAACAAAGTAAAAAAAAACAAAATCATAATAATGTGACTAATGAAGAGACCCATGCTTTAATTGCTATTTGGTTGGAAGAATGATCATGATTGTCACTGAGAGTGCATGTGGAGCTCATGCAAAAGCAGCAGAGGTAAACTTTAAACTGATTTTGTGAAACATATACTACATAATCTCAAAAAGGAACAATCATTAAAATTGCAATGCTTGCTAAGTTTAGTTTGCTATTACTAAATAAAAATGTTTTGCATTTCAGTGCATATAAATCAATTAAGACACACATCCAAATACATCCAAAATATCATAAAGTAATAATAATAATAAAAAATAAAAATAATAAAAATAATGATAATACAGTAATAATAAAACTACGTATGGGTCTGTACTGTACCCCAAACTGCACAGTGTTTTATTGAAATCACAAAATAGTGTGTGCATTCATTATTATGAACCATTGTATTTTTTTTTTTTTTAAGTCAAATTTTTAATATAATAGGCTTTATGGCGATCCGTAAGTACGAGTTGTCCATAAGTCAACCGTTCCTAACCAGGGGACTGTTTGTATTTTGAAATTGCAACATTCAGAAGTATTCAAAATAATGTTATCACATATTCTTATGCACATTATATGATGCTGACGAATTAAAATAATTAAAATGTGTAAATCTGACAGACAGCATGTATTGAATACATCAAACCGGTGTGACTAAGTTTATAAGTTTATGGTGGGAAAGTTGCTCAGTTAATACTGACATACTTGGATGAACCATAGAGAAATTCATAGCTGCTAGTAGTGATGGTAACGCAAGACCTTAAATAAGTAGAAACAAAATATATGAGAATGCATATCTGCAATACAGTTGTGTATG